TGACTCACTTAACTCACTGAGCCCTGGCAACTGCTACTACTAATACTTATTATAAGTGGAAGAGTCTATTTACAATAGAATAGGTATGTTCTAGTATAACAGTTTATGAAAAGGAAATGTTCATACAACAGATTAAATGATCTGACACAAAATAATATTCAAAAATGTTTCAAACAGAGGTAACATAGTTTTTTGTTCACAGAAGGAATATATGGTTGTATAGACTCAAAAATAGAAGAAGATAGTTTGAAATACTTAGCTTTCTTGGATTGTTGAAGTACCAAGTACTTGTTTACAGCCAATAATGTAATTAGCAATAATTTGACACTGGCAAGAACTGGAACACTGAATGTGTGAACAGAAATAAAACTTTTCACATAACTTCAGACATTCTTCTTTTGTTAATTTAATTTTTTTCTTCATTTTATATAAAAAGGATTTTGCATAGGCTCACTATATTTATAGGTTTTCTTTGGTCCAATTTCACATAGGCTCATGAATTTATTTCCATCATTTTCTCAGCTCACTAGCCAATCTCAGTGAAGGCAAGATTTTAATTGGTCCAGAGAAAATTTTGCATAGGCTCACAAATTTCTTACCATCTTTTCTCCTCAGCTCACCTGAATTTGAAGGGAGTGGGCAAAGGGAGTTATTTCATACTCACTACACAGAGACCAAACTTCAACTAACGTGTCTTTACACATTGTCTTACTACAGTTTGAAGCAAATGCTTCAAGCATTAAAAATGTTAAAATTGTGTTTCTAGATTTATTCCAAATTCTAAATAAACTAATCAAAGAATATATTTAAATTTATATATTATCAGTAAAAAAAGACTCTAACCAAACTATTTAGTGGTTTACCATTTTCATAGTATATTTGTCACTAAATTATGAATTGGAGGATTTTTTCTTAAAATGTCTTATACTTGGAAAAAGTTCAATTCAACAATCAGTTGAGAAAATAACCTTTTTTCAGTCCAAGACAATCCATTCCCTTTTGGCAGCACAACAGATTTTTCTAGATTTCATTTGTTTTTCTGTCAATTTTGGTTTCCTAACAGAAATTCTGCCAAATATATTATTTAAAGTATATCATAGTTTGATAGTATTAAATATTACCACCCATAATATTTAGCAAATTCATTTTGCATTTAATTGATCTTCTTTTTTTTTTTTTTTAGTATTTCTTCAATTCATTAATGATTATCTCCTTCCTATTTTGGTCTGTCTAAAAAAAACCTTCCTCTTTAAGATACTATTTATAAATTTGTTGGGCACTGTATATACATATTCCAAAAATTTGTTCCAAATTAACAATGATTTGGCTTTAGGTTTTGTGCTTTTTAATTTGTATTTGTATGTATTTAATGAATATAAATTACTTCAAAGTATAAAACTTCTCATATTTTCTTTCTTTTGTAGATTTATTAGAAAAGGTAAGTAAAAAAATCATTTCAATAATTCCCTTTAATTTGTTTACAGTTCTGAAATTTTTTTAACATCTGATCATTTTCATAGACATGTTAAGAAGCCAAATATTGAAGCAAAAAAATAAACAACAGAATGAGGTAACCAGTTATTACTTTCCACTTGCCATAACTTGTTTGAGGAATTTAGTTGCTTTTTTTTTTTTAAATTATTATTGCTACATGTTTTTTCTTTTCCATGTTTCCTTTTTAGTCAGTGTACACAAAAAATGTTTACTTGTTGAAGTTTTCTGACTCATTTGGTTGTTGTCTTTTATATTTTTTTTGCTTCTAATTTCATATTGCCAACTGCCATAATTGTTTTTTTTCTTTTTTGTCCCTTTTAAGTCCATTGTTACTGCTTTAATTAACTTTTTTACTTCTCATCTTCAAATATAGATTAGATCTTCACAAGTTTAATCAGTTAAATTTTACTGCCATTTTGTTTTAAATGATTACAACTTACAGAAAATATTGTTTATGTAATTTACATTGTTTGGACTGTTGTCCTCATCTTTATTCTCATATTCACATTTTAATCCACTTTTGTCCCCATGGATAAAAGCATTGGTTGAAGTAATCCAGTGACTTGACCCAAAGAGTTATGAGTTCAATACCTGGCCACAGCAGAGGTGAAAAAAAAAACTTGTAGAGTTGCGTTACTAAAGGAAATTAACTGAAAATGAGATATCCAGAAAAAGCATGGAACTAGAACAATCTACCCTAGTGGACTAAATAAAGTCTTTGGTTTGAAATTCCACTGTGTATCAGCTGAAGAAGACTGGAGCATACAATGGCTTAAATGTTGTGAATATAACAATAAAGATGAGGAAAACAGTCTGAACAATGTAAATAGTTGTAGTGAAAGAGATAATCAGGTACCCCGGAAAAAAAGTTTGTGTTTTGTGTGTGATCTGCCAAAGAAAAATTACCAAAAAGTAGTCAGCAAAAATAGCGAAGAAAACAGCGACTTACCTCATCAAACCAAGCGACAGCGCATCGCGTGTATTCTACAATGGAAAAAGTGACAAAAAAGAAACAAGTCCGTCACAGGAGTCGCTATAACAGTATTTCGATATGCAAATTATGGAGCATCCTATCCCAGCTGTCGACGAATGAAAAAAATAGGTTCTGCCGATAAAAACAGTTGGTGTTCTCGATTCGGGGGCAGAAAATTCGGGCATTTTTGGCTTCGGTGTTTGTTAGAGAGTGAGTTATTTTTCTAACTGGTTTCACGCATTGTGATTTGAGATAGTACCGGCGAATCGAGTTTTCAGCATTTCTTTCTGCCCCCGATATTCGAGTCTGTACTGATTTTTCTTTGTGTTGTGGAAGTAATCTGCGACAAATACTTCCTTTGCTTTCAGAACGCTTACACTTACAATAATGTAAATAGTTACAATACCTCATCTCAGAAATATAGACAGATTCTGAGGAAAATCAGCCAAAATGTTGTGAATATGACAATAAAGTTGAGGACAATAGTCTGAACAATGTAAATAGTGTAAATAGTTCCAATACTTTCTCAGAAATATAGACAGATGTAGAAAAATATTCACCCTAATTTCTGTTTGATGATTGCAACAAAGGTAAAAAGATTCCAGACTGCTCTTAAATTGGGGAGTATTATACCTGTAAGGTTCTTCCTTATTTAATTTTTATCTTCAAACTCATATATTTTCAAAGTAAATGTTTGCTTTAACAATTTCTTAAAATGCATATCCAAAGGTTGGTTAAAGCTTATGGCCACCAAAGTTAAGGGACATCAGGTTTGGCCAGTACCTAGATGATTGACTGCTTGGAAATACCAGGTGATGTAAGCTTGGGTGTGCGGGTGGTGTACCTTCGAAGTAGTCTTGAGAAATTTCACAAAGTTAATGTCAAAAGTCTGAACTGTTCAGTTCCCATGTTCTCTTTCAAATTCCTCAAATTCTGGATAGCATCTTGTATTAAAAGAGGGGGTCCTTTATAAACATCTATAGAGAAGGGTTTGCTGGGCATTTTCTGTGAGAAAAAGAGCACCATGACACAATTCACTGTGACAGAAATTTGGAAACAGCATACTGTACTGCTTGGTATTCATGCCAGAAGCCCCAATACAAACATTTCAGTAATTCAGTATCAATCTGAGGACAGTGCAGAGAATTCAGAAAGAATTGGATGAGTCTAATGGTGATTACAAAGGTGTTTGGAGTGATCACTAGTGATGGCGATATTATACCTTCATTCATCTGCCCACAAGGACTCAAACTAAACATGGAGTCCTATATCAAGTGCCTTAAGGAGGTAGTGTTGCCCTGGGTCAAGAGGGTGGTTGTTGGAAGACCCTATATCTGGTAACATCACTCTGCACCATGCCACACTAGGAGAACCTAGTCATGGCTGTCAGACAATTTCTGTGACTACATGACCCCTTACAGTTTAGACATATTCTGTTTACTCATTTTTGTTAAGATCCTTTCATATTCTCGAATGATTATTTTTATGTCATTACTGAAAGATGCTGTGTTTCAGGTATCGATATTCTGGTAAGCTGCTGGATCATGTAGCTTAAAATGTACAACAAAACAGATCTTAATGAAAACATGCTGCTGAAATACGTACATTGTAAGCTACACAATCCAGCAGCTTACCAGAATATTGATACCTGAAACATGGCAATTTTCTCTCCTCTTTCAGTAATGACATAAAAAATTATCCAAGAGTATGAAAGGATCTTAATGAAAATGAGTAAACAGAATATATCTAAACTGTACAACAAAACATGTCTTAATGAAAACATACTGCCAAAATAAATATATATATATATATTGTGTGTGTGTGTGTGTGTGTGTGTGTGTCTATCAGTTTCATGTGCACCTAAATGCGTAATCATCAGGCCATCACTGATGATTTGCTGGAGTTACTAGTATTTATTCTCCTCCTCAGGTCAACTGAAGACATAATTAATGATGGTCAGTATGAACATTCATTGCCCATACCCGCCATAATCACCTACTGGAAGGGATAACTGATGACATGGATATTTTTAAGGCTTACATAGGGGTTAAAATCTACCTTGATTTGTGAGTGAGGGGACAGAAAATCTGCCAAAACACAAAAGGTTCTGTGCTCCAAAACAGTGCTTAATATTGCAGGGTTCCTAAGCCATACACACACGTATATACACACACACACACACATTTTTATCAAAGCCATAAAAAAATGACCCCATATTTTGATACCATAACTGTTGACACATAAAATATACTTTTTCCCCAAGAAATTAATAAAAAATTTGCTAATTCTTCACTTAAGAAGCATAAAATATACTGCTATTCCCTGATTGGCATAAAATTAATAAAACCAATGTATATATCTTTATTACAATTAAACATTATTACAACAGGTAATGGCAGATGACATGGTGAATAAATGTTGAAAATACCACAGGATCCACAAAATGCTGCTGATAAATAACATCATGATGAAAGTATATCTCGTAGTTGATTTCTTTGATTCCAGCATAAGCAGCTCAGCAATCTGGAACAATATGGCTTCCAGGCTGAATATACCACACAATTGCCTCTTTCAGTGTCTCTGCTTATCAATCCAGCACCTCAACTCAGAAACACTTTCTCAAATCCCACTCAATACCACTGAATGCACAATGGCTAGAACACCATTGGCCATGGTAATATTTATGATGAAAAACATTCAAAGATATAAAATGACAGTTTATTTTACACCATTTATGTGAACGATTGCCAAAAATTCACCCTGTGTCTAATATACAAAGTTGAATCCTCCTGTAGGCTAATTCTATGACCAACAGTCATTGCTGACAGCTATAATGTTACCTCTGGTAAGTTACTTCTATGTAACCTGACTTCATAATATTTATTCAAATAACATTATTATTGTTACTGGTACATGAAAAGGGATTATAACAAAGACCGTGAAGTAATGGATTGTGGCTCGGATTGAGAAATCGGAGAGCTGAGTTCAAATTCCAATCAGATCCATTACATTCACTTACATGCTAATACCCTTGGGAAAGTTATGAATCCTCTTCTTCCCATCCACCCCCCGCCCCAACCACAGCTATGGGTGACTAACAGGACAGACCAGGTTCTATAGCTTTGGATGGCAACTGGTCTACCGCAAAAAGAAATGGCAACCTACTGCAGGAAAAATTCTGCTTCATCAGTCATGTATCTTTTGATACATGATCGCGTAAGTGTGTATCATGCCTGACAAATATTTGACTGACCTATGACATATGTCAGTATCAGGTGATCCATCCTATTAAAATATACTTCAATATCCTCCTATGATTAGCCAGCTAGAATCTACAGAAGAAAGGAAATAGTGGTAATGTTAAACTACTAACCTAGGAAATATTAAGGTTGTAGAGAAATATGTTTATCATACAAGACAACCAACATAACCTTAAGTGCCCAGCGCTCCATTTGCCTGAAAGGGGACATAAAAATGTGGATGGGTAGATCAGAGGAATTCCATCAAAATGATAATTAATGAGGCCAGGGTATTAGCAGAAAAACAAAAGATTCAGAGCTTTGCAGAATCAAAATGTCGGTACCACTGGTTTATGAAATGATACTGGGTTTAATTTTGTGTATAAAAACATCTACAGCACAAAAACGTCATATTTTTTCATGAATAAGCTCGGCTGAAATTTGATGCCCTAATATATTCATGTTTCGTTTATGCCATCAAATATAGCAAGTATTGTTATTGTTAGGTTTGTTTTACTTCAGTCTTTTCATCCCACCACTTTAATAAACATTTTGGAACAGTCTACAATTGTCATATCAAAGACACTGTCACCTGGTGTCTCCAGTGCAAGAGAGATAAATGTAGTTTAGCAAAAGGTTAAAGATGATAGCATATTACGTAATCTGTGCAAATAATTGAGCACAGACACACACACACACACAGATATATGATATAGGATTCAGACCTGCATCTCCCATGAGGAATGTGTACCTTGTTAAAACACAATCTTGTGCAATAAACAGAGTGACAGCACTTCAAACAACAGAAAATTTTCCCTGGGGAGAAATTTTTTAAAAAATGCTGCCTAATCATTTGGCAGGAAGAGAAATAAGCTACAGCCGCTGTTTAGAATACATTCATTAAGCTGTGGAGTAGGAATATAATTTGTTAGTCAAGGATGGGGAGTTCAATCCTAGGTAGGACTACAAGAGTCAGCATAGTTAAAATATATTCTTGTGCTTAAAAAGCTTAATCAATGAAACCCTTCATGGTCAAGTAAGTTAAAAGCACAAAAACATGTAGATAAAGAAGGAACCTTTGACATTACAATGAGAAGCTATGGTGATGCAGAAACCTGTGAGCTCATAGGTATATATTTGCTACATAAACTAAAATAATCAATAAAAATGATATAATCCTTTACAGGGATGACAGTCTCATAATCTTAAAGAAACTGTAACAGACATTAAAAGACAAACAATAATAAAAATTTTCAAAAATATTGTAATCCTCATAGATATAAAAACTAACCTAAACAAAGTAGATTTCCTAGATGTAACATTCAACCTAAGAAAAGATACATATCAACCATACAGAAAACCCAATGATAAACCACTGTATATACGTACATCTTCCACCACCCACCATCAATAATCAAGCAGGTACCACAATCAATTAACTGCAAGTTATCTGACAATTCTTCCAGTGAAACCATCTTAACAATGCCAAGAAAGATTATGAAACAGCCCTAAAAGATAGTGGATTTTTGTCAATACTCATATACACACCACCCAACACAAAAAAAGCCAGCAGAAAAATAAATACCATATGGTTCAACCCACCATACAACAAAAACATAAAAACAAATGTAGGAAAAATATTCATTAAATTCATACACAAACACTCTCATCAAGCATTCTCCACAAGATATTCAACATAAAAAATACAGTAAAAATCAGTTACAGTTACCCAGAGGACCTGACATAAATAGTAAAAAAGCACAACAGGAAAATAACCAATAAACCACCTGCATAAATCAAACTCATGTTTAACTTCAGAGCAAAGAATAAATGTCCCTTAAATGGAAATTGCTTTCAGAGCAATGTAATATACCAAGCCACTGTAAAATCAAATAACTGAAAGGCCCTGAAAATGAAGAAACAACACACACAAAACATCCTTTACAAATAGTAAATACAAAAACAGCACAATGTCTTCTGAACATATTTGGAAAATTAAAAACAAAAACCAAATGATACCAAAAATATCATGGGAAATATGGAAAACAGCATCAGCCTACAAAAATAAATCCAAAAAATATAAACTCTGTTTGGAAGAGAAAATGGCTATAATTACCTTCCCAGGCCAACACTAATTATTAAATAAATGATCTGAACTCATCTAAAAAATGCAGACAAACTTTCACCATGTTACTTAGAATCAAAAGTAAAATAAATTAATCCAAATCAATATATATGTAAATAAATGAAGTAAATAATAAACAATTTAACAAACTACAAATACACACATAAACACAAGTAAACGTAATAATAACAACCAAGCAAATAATAAAATAATAAATAATGAATAAGAAAGTTACAAACAACACTATAAAATAGCCACAAAACTGCATCCAGATCCACAATTATTTCCATGTAATAACCTCTTAGAATAATTTGAAACATGACCATTACTGCCCACCCATTGGGATAATACAACAGACCTAACCATAATGCACCACTGATCAGCATGTACAAATATTCAAGTCAAAGCACAATGTATATGGCCTGACAATTGTGTTTAAGTATGAAACAGAATGTTCTTGCTGGGTGTTAACTTCAAGGTCTACTTTTATATTCACATATGCTCTATACCTGATATTGAGCACTTTAACCCATAAATATAGCATACTGTAAAACTATATTTTGGTTATATGTATACACTGCATATATATATATATATATATATATATAGTTTTAAGGCATGCTATATTTATGGGTTAGTGTGCTCAATGCCAGAGGCGACAGTCTGTTTCATGCTAAATGCAATCATCAGGCCATATATATCTATCAAATTATGAGAGAGAATTCCAATCAAAGCAATATCTTAGTGTCTGAAAATAAACAAAATTATTTATGTCCATCGATTTACAGATTTCTGTGGATATCACCGGAAATATAACATAAAACATATTTACATAGATGAACTTGGAATGATATATAATTATATAAAGTTATCTATATGTATGTGTGTAGATGTAGCCACTTATATATCTGTGTGTGAGGTTAATACCTGGTGCATGTCTATATGCTTTACAAGTTCCTATTCAAACCAGCTCGTATATGTCAATATGTCTGAATATCTACGTGCACAAACGATTTTTATTATCTTCAGAGATTCCTGAAGATATTTTTTATTGGAATTTTTGCCATTTATCTATTTTTATAATCTTTCACTTTTTTTTTATGGTATTTTCTTGAGGCTGGAGAATGGAAAGCTGGAACAGTATGGCAATACCAGCTTCATACATATCTCCATAGATATGTGTGTGAAATTCTTCAGACATTTTAGCTTGGAATATGCTGAGTGCATCATGAGAGTATATTTTCATTCCTTTTCGTTATAAAATGCAAATTCTCTTCTTTGCAGGCATAAAAACTGACTTTAAATTTTTTTTTCTACCTCTTTTTTTTTTTTTTTTTATCTCCAGTCTCGTGTAGCAGCTCAAAATCAGGGAGAAAGAAACTTTCATATTTTCTATCAGCTTCTCAGTGTAGATGATACTAGTTTCTTAAGTAAGTATTTTTCTCCTCCAAAACTTATCCATTGTTCTTTTTCATTTGATGCTTGTATTCTTTCTTGTTTTTTTTTTTTTTTTTTAGGATTTTGCTTACCTGTTCATTCTACCAAACTAACACGTGTCCTAGATAATCTAGCAACTAAATCAAGGTAGTACTGTTTACTTAACTCTTTTATTGAAGAGTTTCAATCCATCATTTTGCAAAATATATAAAAGTGATTCATTTTCTATTAGAATAAAAAAATATATTGTCCAAAGATCACAGTGGTAGATTTCAAAACTGCTGTTTATGAATATGAATAAATTGAAGTAAAGATAATTTGCTAAACAAAAATAAACCATGAAGACATCTTATCTTTTTTATGCAGGCCAAGCAAAATATGATTTTAGAAATTTTTATATTTATGTTTTACCTTACCTCATATTGCAAAACATTTGTAATAATCTTTTTAGCATTTTCAATGTAATGAAAACAAACTTTAAAATCCACTTCAAAATTTATGCAAGACATTCATCACAAAAAAACTGATAATTAATACACAGTTTAATGTGATTAGTAATATTAAGATTACAGGGTACATGAGGTGGAGGAGGGATAGATACCCTACCTGCAGGAATGATATAAGCTCTCTGTAAGCAGAGAAGCACATGGCTACCCTTGCAGAAAGAAGGCAGGTAGGATATATATATATATATATATATATATATATATATATATATATATATATTTTTCTTTTTTATCTTACTGCAACTTTTTATATTATGTTATTTCTTTTGTAGGCAGTTACTATTTAGTGGGCATATGCTCTGAAGTTACAGATGGGGTTTTGTGGTGTACTGGTGATTTTTCTATTTTCTGAGAACTTTTCAGCATCCCATTGATTTTTCTCTTCATTTGCATCGCAAGAACTAAAAACAATTGAAAGTCTCCAGTAACTTTTTTATTTTTCATTCTTTTTACAATAACTGTCTGCTTCAAATTTTTATGATTTTTTTTTTTCCTTGAAATTTTCTGAAGCAGAAATTTTCAGATTGGGAAACGGTAGACATGGGAAGGAAAACAAGTAAAAAGTCAATATTTGTCACTTCAAAAACATAAGTTTTGCTGGAACAAAACTTGTCTGCAAACAAGATGCAAAGTTCTCTTACTTGCTGTCAAAGAAAAAGTATTCATCCAATTTATAGATTGGATCTATGATGGATGACTGAGCAACAAACTGAGAGAGTCATTATCTTTACTGTTCATTCAGTCCGATGCTCTTAAAGACATCAATTCTTTCAGGAACTCTCAATTTGATAGTTGTTCCATTTATGATTCTTGTTATGGTTGGCTCTTCTTTCTGACAATAAATATCCAAGAGACTTGGATTAGGTTCCAAGAACTTTTGGTTCATCCCTTTTTACTAACTCCAAGAACAAATACTGTAGAATAATTGTTAGTCTTATACTCTGAGTTTGTTTTTCAATGGCTTTTCTCTAAACATGGTCCCTTTATACAACTATTATATTTCCAAATAATTCTAAAAATTTATAAAATTCTGCCCGGAATGAGAAGTTATTTACATTATTTACCCTTCACCTGTTATCCTCATCTTTGTTGTTGTTGTTATCACAGTATTTCAGCCATTGTGCCCTCAGCCTCTTGCCAATCCAAGTAACCTTCATAGAATTTCAAACTAAACCATTTAATTTACAAAAGTATATTTTGTTCCCATTATGCAAGCCTGTGTCTAGGGGTATCTCATCTTATTTCTTTTGGTACTGTTCAGTTATTGCTCACTCTATTTCCACAAGTAAACACTGCCACACCCAGGAATTGAACACATTTACTATGTCACCAAATTCATGAACCATCGCTTTAATCCACTATCATCTTGTATTAAAACATTCCAACCATTGTATTCTCCAACATTCCTCAAATATCATACATTTAAAAATCTTCAATGAATCAAGAAAACTCTTTATTTTAATATCTAACAGTGGCCTTACCATTAACAGAAAACAAAGTGAAAGGGACAGAACAACAAATAGTGATAAGATGTTCTTGAGATAAGTAAAAGTTTGTTTTTTTCCTGTGATTTACAAGGTTTCATCACTTGTTCATTCCAGGGTAGCATATATCAGTCATGGAATATTGAGAGTTTATTCAGCAGGGAGCAACACAAAATATCAGTTGAGATACATGCCGTCATATATATAGTCAAAAGTTGGCATCACTGCTAATGTCATGGACAGTCATGTAGTCACATGCATTATGGGTATCCGTCGCTAATGCTAATGTCATATCTCCCTTTATGGGTGGAATCAATGTTGGCTTTATTTAAGATTCTGGTAGTATTCTGGAAGTGGATGAATAGAACCTGACAAGCTTAAAGTATGTTTTTGTCATATGAGCTGTGCATGATGAAGTAAGCACTTCTGTTTGAGTTAAAGAATTGGTGTTCCAGCAGAGTGTACAAAAAATCTGAAGGGTATTTTATGCTGTTCTGCATCTCTAGCATTGGCTCTCTCAAGAAATGAACTCATGGCATTCATGGAATGAAGCAATTTGATACAGCAGGATCCAGTGTTTTTTTATTATTTGGTCCATGTAACAAAGGGTCATATTACAAATTCCCCAAAATGCAACAAATACTTGAGGGAGAGCTAAGAATGCAGTGAGAGATTTTATTCAAAAAGTGATTTGTTTGGTAGAAGCAAAATCCTCGTTTCATGAAAATTTTATTCTTATGAGTTCTCGGTTAAAGGGAAATAACGAATGAGGAATTAAGGCCAGTAATACAAATTTGTAATATATAATCAGACTTCTTTGTACAGTTCAACTTCCCCCCTGAAAAAAATTAAATCTTTTAGTTGGATATTAAGTTGCAATTCAAAACCCATGAAATTTAAAAATCCTGGTTTTTATGATTGTAAATGATTTTGAAAATGTTTGTTGTTTAATTTGCACTTAATGACACTTCTGAAAACTACTACCCTCGGTACCAGCTGTTTTTAGGAGGTAAGAGTTGGCAATTGTGATCAGTATCTACTAAATTTAATTCAAAGTCATTCTTCACAGTTGATTTAAATAAGATACAAGTCATGGTTAACTATTTCTTTTTCAGAGTCACTAAAAATATCACGAAATGCCGAAAACTATCATTTTCTCAAAGGTAGTGGCTGTGTTCAAGTAGAAACCATTGACGATAAAGAAAATTTTTATGCAGTCAAAGTGAGTAGACTTAGAGAATTTTTTATGCTATTTTTTGCTTGAAAAAACTTCATGTTGAATGACTTTTCATCTTCTCTGCAATGTTTATTGTCCACTGTTTTTAAAAATCTTTTTAAAGTATTGAAAATAAAAAACTATTACATACAAGTGTAGAATGAAAAATTCCTAGGTTAACTATGAAGCAGTGATGCTAGATCTGTGAAATCTTGGATGTATTAATTTCAACTCCTCTTATTAATAATTGCATTGCTTCTTTCCAGGTACGAGGGTGGGATGAAAAGTTCATAGGCTGACTATGAAGGAGTGATGCTAGAGCTGTGAAATCTTGCATGCATTAAATTCAATTTTTCTTATTAATAACTGCATTGTTTCTTTCCAGATAAACTGACATCTGACTGTTCAAAGAAGACTGTTCATCAAAAAAGTCAATAACAGATATGACATTATAATCACTGCAGTACTGGTTCCCAGCCAAGTGTTTTTTTCATGTTGGGGAACAGATAATAGTCAAATCAGAAGAATAGGGAGGATGATCAACCAGTTCAAAGCTACAGTCCCACACAGCAGCCATTGAAACCAAGGACCTTTATGCTGGAGCATTGTCCTGATGAAACAAGACCTTTTTCATCAGTTTTCCTGGGTATTTAGTCTTGATAGTTTTTCATAACTGCCTCAGAAACTTATCATAGTACTCTCCATCGATGGTGTGACCCTTTTGAAGATAGTCAATAAGTACAATGCCTTTTGCATCGCAAACTGAGGCCATCACCTTCCTGGCAGATGAAACGACCTTGGCCTTTTTTGTAGAGGGTAAGAAGGGATATTTCTATGACATGAATTGTCTCTTTGTCTCTGGACCAAAGTGATGAACCCAACACTCATCTTGGGTTAGGAAACCAGCTAGATTTGCCTCAAACAATATAAGATTTTGCTGTAATGTGCACAGCTTGTGCTTTTGATCATGTATCAGAAGAGGTGGCACCCACCGAGCAGAAACTTTTGTCATGCCAAGTTCATTGTGCAGAATATTCTCAACTCTCTCATGGGATATGCTAATAGCATTAGCTATTTGTTTTATAGTCAATCACCTGTCATCCATCACCATGTGGTGAACACAATCAATGTTTTCCTCAGTGGTGGCACTTGCAAGACATCCAGATCATGGATCATTTTCCAGACTCTCCTTTCTCCTCCTAAATTCAGCTGCTCATTTTTGCACTATTCATAAAGCTGCAGCATCAACCCCTAATGTAGCAACTGTGTCAGCATGAATGTCCTTGATGGTTAAACTCTTTTTCTGAAGGTACTTGAAGAGACCACAATGTCAAATTTTGTCCATTTTCAAGAGAAGTTGCTACTAGTTACTTTTGAAATCTTTTAACAGATATCAGCTTACCTGGAATAAAACAATGCAGTTATTAATAAGAGTTGAAAATAATGCATGCAAGATTTCATAGCTCTGGCATCACTCCTTCATAGTCAGCCTATGACCTTTTCAGCCCAACCTCATACCTGGAAAGAAACAATGCAGTTATTAATAAGAAGAGTTGAAATTAAGGCATGCAAGATTTCACAGCTCTAGCATCACTCCTTCATAGTCAGCCTATGACCTTTTCAGCCCACCCTTGTTCTTACAGTTTCTGAATATATTTCTAATTTAGTTTATAAAAATCTGAAAAGCCTATTTCTATTATAATTTAAATTATTGTAATAGATTAGCTATTAAACACTAAAAATAAAAAGCCTTGTGTAATTTAAAAAAATATAAGTTTTATAATAATTTTTAAGTAATATTTGATGTGCAAAATGACTGAGAAATGTTCTAAATTGCAAATGTTTTGTTTAGATTAAGATATTATCCACAGAGATCTTTCCAAGACCAGGAAACTAGCAACCATCATTCTTTGTATTTTTTTTTCTTTTACTTTTTACCTTATCTGCTTCTGGTGAAATGCAAATAAAATAAGTTTTAATGACCAGAGAAAAGATATAATGGCATCTCTTTTCTGTTTTTATGTTCTGAGAATGAACTAACGATAGAATTATTACATTACATCCTGCAATTCATTAAATAAGAACCTCTATCATCATAACCATACATGAAATGCAAATCCTTATGCAAGTGCCTCCATCTTTGTACTCATACATGAAATACATATTTTCATCTCTCCACTGACAAGACAATAAAGAAAAAATACTATTCATTTAAAACTTCATTTTAAAAATAAGCTCATTTTAAAATAACATCTGCAAAAACCATGCAGTAATCAAGACCAGTAAGATACGAAAAGATGTCAAAAGTCCGTTAACTAAGTTTCCGTGCATTACTACTAGAGGAAAACATATGTAAATAATGCCAGTAATGGCGGCCGGACAACATGAAAAAGATCGAACATACATTGATGATAAATTGAAAGCAATAATCATACACGATGTTTTAACATCATTTTCGAAGTAACCTGGCAGGTTCACGCCATAAAGGTATATTCTCGATATCAGGGGCTTTTGGTGCTTATACTGCAAATTAACCAGGTAATCTTTCAGGGATGATGCTTTAACAAATCAGGCTACTAGTAGTGACATTCTGAATTCCCTTTTTTAATCTTCTGCCATTATCCCTTTTATCTGATAGAATTCCATGATTTATGGTTGATGAACTCCTACCAGTGCTGTTTTGGAATTTTAATATAAATTAATTTCACAGTGATAAACTAGTTTCTAACTAATTTTCTTTCATCTACTATAACCATTTAATATTTTTTCATCTCCTTACACGTTGCAAAGATATATTGGGGTGTGTCATCAGTGATGTTAATGCTGGATTCATTGGTAGTCTCAGGTCTTTCAATATCATATCATCTTTCCTATCTGACACCCGCTTCCCATCATAGTTCCTGCAACAGTGTGCAGCCTAGCACCAAATTACATTTAACCTTCAATGTATTGTGCTAATTCAATGAAGAATAACCATAAAAATAATGACGCTAATTTGTAGCAGCAGATCAACATGCTCGCCAATATTTCAAATTGACAAAATTTTAATTACCAGAAAGAAGATATTTACTAAAAAAAAATCTATAAGGAAAAAAAATTTTCAAAATGGTGGAAATATTTAATATGAAAAATTATTTGTAAATTTCTTCCTGATAATATTACAAAAAAACTTTTTTTTTCTTTCCAGAATGGAATGGAAGTTATTGGCTTCCAAGTTCATGAAATATTTGCTGTCTTTCAACTCGTAGCCAGTGTTCTAAAGTTTGGTAATTTAGAATTTCATCACAGAAGCAATTTGGATGGAACCAATGGATGTGTTTTGATGAATGAATATGGTCTGTAAAACAAACTTTTCACTGCTTTTTCTCTTTATACTAATATTCCATTCTTTGCCACATCAGAAACCAACTTTTTTCAATTGATCTTATTTTGTTCAATTTATACAAAGAAATGGCATTTATGGTGATGACCCTCTTTAACCCTAGAACACTAACTATGGGTATATAGTACCCAGCGCAAATTTTCCTATTTTTAATTACAATTTTCAGTACCTGATTTTCTTACCTAAATAATGTCTTTCAGTTTCTATTAATGTTAACTCAAAGTACAAAGTTTGAAGTGCCTGCATGTAAAATATGTCAAATAGATTTATATTTAATATTTTTTTTGATATTTTCAAAATCGGGTTTGATATACCCATGGTTAGTAGCAGTGTAACTTTAATTGATGGTTAGTGTTCTAGGGTTAACTCAGTTAACCAAAATGGAAGAAAGCAAGAAGTAAATTCCACAGGTTTGAATGGAGAGATTTTATTAAACAAAGAATTATTTACATTCAAGTTTTTCCACCTTGATCTTAAACAATTGTTTCAATGTTTAAAAATTTTATTTTTCAAGTTTTTACTTTTTAATGCTTAAGGTGACCAGATGAGATCTTCATCTGATGAAAGTCTCATCTGGTACCAACCACAATGGTAATACCAAAATACTGCATTAAATTTTTTTTTAAATATGTAAGAGGATGTGACAGAAATACCTCCCATATTAAAAACTGCTATTAAAAAAATTATTTCACTGTTGTTTAAACAAAGGGCTACATTTTTTATTCATTTGATTTTACAAATGAGATACTCTAAACAGTGGCTTTATTTGTTCTGGGGTTTACAGCCACGTCACACTAAAACACCAGTTTCTGTCTAATCACAGAATTTAAGCAACATCAGTACCCAGATGAGTAACCACTTGGGAATACCATATTGGATATGCAAATGGTGTAATGAATTATGGCTTGGAATTGTTAATCAGAGAGCCAAGTTCCAATTTCATTTGGACTCATTATTTCACTTATGTTCAAATACCTTTCCCAAAGGTATTTGAATTCACCTCTTCTCCCTCCAGCTATGGGTTAATTAGTAAAACTTGTATCACTAAATCAAATTATTATCCAAGAAAAAATTCTTACAATCTTAAAAGAAATAATTTATGGCTTTAAATAACTTGTAATGGATTTATAAGCCATAGAAAATGAAGATGAGATCTAAACATTTTTTTTTAAAAAAAAAAAAAAATTAAATAAAAAATTAAAAAAAAAAAATACCAACAATAAAAAACCCTATTTGCAGAAATAAAACTAGGGAACCGGATATGTGGAGAATAAATATTGCCCTCAATTTATTGAGGTAAAAATAATACTTGCAATGTAACTCTCTCAACGGAAGCCCTCTTTGCAAAAGTGTTAATGAAATTTGATTTGGTATCTGTCTATATTTCTGAGATTATTATGTATACTATTTACATTATTCAGACTATTATCCTCATCTTTGATGCCATATTTATTATATTTATTTATATATTTATTACAACATTTCGGCCGTCGTACTCTCCGGCCTTCTTCAGGTGGTTGGAATGTCTATCTGAACCCTTTATTTTGCTCACTGGAGTAGGCTGTTCTAGTCCCACGTGCCATGTTTAATGGATGTCAGTTGTCAGTTATATCCCGTTAATTCCCCTCTCCAAGTTCTCCACTGCCTTAAACAGGTATTGAACTCAGACTCTTTGGGTCCTGTCACTGGATCTAACTAACTCCTTTATCCACTGTACTGTGTGTCCTTGAGGACATCTGTGTATGAATTTCTGTGTATTATAAACCTAATGTCATCAGCAACCAATTTTTTACCATTGTTCATATTGCAATTTGATTTACAAAGTGATTTTGTTACAAAGAATACTTTCTTATTCATATGTATTTATATATATTTAGTTATATATATATATATATATATATATATATATATATATATATATATATATATATAAAAATAAATCTTGTTGCTATTAAATGACCCCTTGAGGTTGATATGCCATGAAAAAACAAACCAAGAACACATAGCACAGTGGATAAAGGCGTTAGTTAGATCCAGTGACAGGACCCAAAGAGTGTGAGTTCAATACCCAGTTAAATCAGTGGAAAACTTTCAGAGGGAAATTAACAGGAGATAACTGACAACTGATATCCATTAAACATGGCACGTAAAATAAAGGGTTCAGTTCAACATTCCAACCACCTGAAGAAGGCCGGAGCGTACAACAGCCGAAATGTTGTAATAAATATAACGACAAAGATGAGAACAGTAGTCCGAATAATGTAAATAGTGTACATAATACCTCATCTCAGAAATATAGACAGATACAAAATAAACCAAACCTAAAATTCTCTATCACCTGGAAGTTTAAGCACCTTGGGGTCTTCCAGGTGGCTTTCTTTCAAGAACTGAACCTGTAACCCTGAAATTTTCAACTCCTCAAAGTATCTATTTTCTATCTGGAATAGCATCATTCCAAGGTAACATGAAATGAATACAAAAAGCTCCCTATGTTGCAATTACAGATTCACCAGTCTTAAAAAAAAAAAATGCTTCAACAGCAAACACATGGTGTGTGCTGGTCCAAGCCATAATGGTAAGACATATGCTACATGAAGACACCATTGCAACTTGATTAGTTCACTATCACCACAAAGATGACAGTTTAAAATGTGGGAGGTATTTCTGCCTCACCCTGTATATAAGAATCCTAATACTGATATTTGCATTGAGTTAGGACTTGAATTGCTATGATAATAAAATAAATCTAAAATATTCTTTTTGTGATCACAGAAGCCCAAGAAATATCAGAGTTAATTGGTTGTTCTGCGGAAGATTTGCAAACTGCACTGACCCAAAGAACAGTGGAAGCCCGGGGAGAAAAGTTAAAGACAGACCTGAGTACAGCTGATGTAAGTGACCAATGATCTATTTGAACCCAAAACTCAAAACTCAATTTTAATACAACTTTTCTTGATTAACAAACCTTGTACTTTCATTTTTCTTCCCAACCTGAAAGAGCTTGAGATTTTCTTTGTTAAATAATTTTCACTAAATGTATTAATTTTCTTAAGTGTTCCTAATGATAATAGACTTGATAACAACTATTTGATCATTTAACAAAATACTGTTATAGACAAGCGTATGGTTGCAAAAAAGAAATACGACAACAGCAGAAATAGATTTACATGATTTATTTCAATAGGAACATGTGGTTTTGGGACAGCTACCTTGTGGTATAGTTCATAAGCTGGCTACCGACCTGGGTTGATCTCTCATAGTAGTTCTCACTGGTTGGCATGGCGCCCCTCCTGCTGCTGACTGCTGCCGACCACTCAGCCTGACCGTGACAGGTCTCTTCCCTGGCCTCCTGTTGACTGCTGTTGTACTTCACCATGTGACCCCTTTTATGGCATTTTTTATGGCTTAACAGGCTCTTAAACGACATGAGTATAATTAGGAGGGAAGCATTTTTATTGGTCAAAAAATAGAAACACTTTAAAATATTATTTTATTTTTTGACCGGAACTCGTGCATCAGGCTTATGCGTAAACGACGATAATGGTCATTTTGTGACGGGGCCTTGTCCAGTTCACATCCGGCTCTCGCTCTTGAGTATGTTAATTTATTTGCCTGCAAATCAGCTGAGATATGTCTTATTTTATTTTATAACATAACCTACCTTTGAATGAAATAAAATACTTAGTCAAAAACTACAACTAGATATGTAAATTAAACTGTATTATTAGTTCTTTTTTATTGGTTCATAAAGAAGTTTTGAGGTATTTTTTGCTTATAAATTAAATCTTGCCATATTGGTTATATACTCAAATTCTTAGATTTCATTGGTTAGAAATTAAATCTGCCTATATATGGTCACATTTTCACATTGTTAATTTTCCTTGTTTTCTACTGACCCAGATTTTGCTTTTCCCCACTTGTATCAGTTTACCTTTCTTCCATTCTCTAAAAATCATAAATATGTATTTGTCTCAAAATATTTGCACAACTGAATCATTATTTACTCCAATATTAGATTTTAGTCCTAGAAACAGAAAAGTCATATAAGATTTGCATATAGCTGACAAATGGCCCATTAGTCCTTTTGACACTCTTGAGAAACATACATTGATCATATAAACAGTTTGTTGTGGAGTGAATGGTTGCTTGAATTAATTATAGATCAGAAGGATATTTTTTGTGTTGATTTGGCTGCGTGAATAAAATATCATCTCCACATTTAAATTTTTGCATGGCATAATGCTATCAAATCCAAAATATAAAAAAAACAATATATTTTTTAATAGCAACTAAACATTTTATATCAACAATACACAAACCTGAAGAATGAATTTACTCAGGTAATTTAAACTGATATTCAATTGTTACAAAGTATATGCTAAAATGTAACATTTACAATTAATAATATAACATGAATTATTCACCTTTTAACTTGAAATTCTTAAAGCCTTTTAAGAGAAAATATTTTTATCTGAACTCACAGAAAAGATTTCAATTCATGAAATAATAGTAAGTTTTAATGGAAAGAATGTTCTTCGGTAAGAAGGTGTTGTAGGCTGCGTTATAGACAAGCGTATGGTTGCAAGAAAGAAATACAACAACAGCAGAAATAGATTTACATGATTTATTTCAATAGGAACGTGTGGTTTTGGGACAGCTATCTTGTGGTATAGTTCATATGCGGGCTGCCGATCTGGGTTGATCTCTCATAGTAGTTCTCACTGGTTGGTGTGGCGCTCCTCCTGCTGACTGCTGCTGACTGCCTGTGACAGATCTCTTCCCTGGCCTCCTGTTGACTGCTAGTACTTCCCCATGTGACCCCTTTTATGGCATTTTTTATGGCTTAACAGGCTCGAAAAATGACGTGAGTATAATTAGGAGGGGAGCATTTTTATTGGTCAAAAAATATAAAACAAAAATATTATTTTATTTTTCGACCGGAACTCGTGCGTCGGGCCTATGTGTAAATGACGATAATGGTCATTTTGTTATAAGGCCTTGTCCCATTCACATCCGGCTCTCACTCTTGAGTATGTTAGTTTATTTGCCTGCAAATCAGCTGAGATATGTCTTATTTTATTTTATAACAGGTGAAATTCAGTGTAAGATGAGTTCAAAGAAACTTGTTGATTGAGAGAAAATGTAATCTTCACTTGAATATTGAAATGTTGAATTAACTTGCTGCTTAGATTGTTCACTGAAGAGAGATGAGTATGAGTGAGAGAATTCAGGAAAGCTGAGAATATGTTGCATTGAAACTTTTAGTTCCAGAAGATTTTGAAGTAATATTCCTCACTGGTGAAAAACTGGTAAGAGTTAAAAACTTTAAGCTAAATTCTTAACTGACATGGCAGCAATGTATACTGTTGACTTTCAAAGGGTCTCACTGGTTAAGTTGAACCCATTTTTGGTACTTATTCACTTGCTGGGTGAACGACTTGAGGGAAAGAATTTTCGTAATGTTTGTTCTCATAATTAATATGTTCCGTGTTCTTGGAAATTGTTGAATGTAAGAGTGTTTGAGTGAATTCATATATGTGAATGTTCTGTACATATGTGTATGTGTGATGGCATTTCATAGCATTCTCCACAGAGGGAGAAACATGACTTTTCTGCTGGACTACATGGTTGATAGGCAAGAAAAACAAAAAGAGGAAGAGTGAAGATTTATAACATATTTATAACCAACGTGGTCACGTGGTAGACTCCAGAGAGCATTTCTGATTTTTGGTGGAAAAACGTGTAGGCATTGTTTCCAATTTGAACAGGTCAACTCAAGGTTAACCACATGGATGTAGGTGAGAACATGATATTGGTATTAATTGACCAATCAGGAGTCAGAGAAATATCAAAGCTCTGTGATCCACTTTTGAAGTTCAAAAATGCACAAATTTTGAAAATGTTATTTTTAGCTATTGTAGGTTGTAGAGTTAGAATCCAACAAGTTTATTTAACCACAACCAGACTATAATTAAATGTGTAAATGCATTTACTACTTTTTTTTATTGAAATCTAACAGACATCAAATTTAATTCTCAATGCCAAAATTCAAATAAAATTTCTACAAACTATTGCCCAATGTCCACATCTGTAGTCAAAGTTCATTCAATATGTGGCCTCCCTATCATCTTAGAAAAAACAACATGGAGGCCATATATTGATCCAACATCCACCAAGGGCAGGTAATCTTTCTTCCTTTATCCAAGAAGTAAGTAAACAAAATATCAATGCAGGATATCTAAATTTTATTTGCAATTATCATGCGTTAATTTCCGTTCTTAATAAATACCAAGAAATTTACATATATTAGGATTATTACTGTCCAGCTAAACAATTTGACAAGTTCTTTATTTTTTAAGTGACCCTTACAATTATTCTCTTTGTTCAGGCTGCCTATGCTAGGGATGCTTTATGTAAAGCCATATACAGCCGGATGTTCTCATGGCTCGTCCAAAGAATAAATGATGGAATCCGGGTAAGTTTTAAAAAAGGCATTTTTTAATGATCTCTTAAATTCATGTGTTCTTTAATTAAGTCAACATCTGCAACAATAAAATACTTTTGATCTTTATCAAATAAACTTTCTGGTATTTCTAGAAAATGAACCTTAATCTTTATTTTATACACCTTAAATTTTTGGATTTATAAAATGTCAATTCAGCAACCCTCAAAAATAACAACCATTTTAATCTGTCAGTAAATTCCAAAGATTTTGCTACCAAAAATACAAGGCATTTCTGCTTTTGAATTTCTGAAGCTGTTAAGATTAAGTCATGTTTTGGAATATGAAAACCATGTTTTGATGAGTTATATGCAATTTTATCTTTGTTTTGTTTTTTTTATCAAACCATTTCAACCAATGCATTCTTCTGTGATAAAAACAAGAACGAAAAGACCATCTAGATAATTTGTGGAATAATGAGAATGATGTCTTTTGAAAAGAGAATCATAAGAATCAATGAATTTAAATATTTAAATAATTCAGTTCTTTGATATTCTCAAAAGTTCAACTTTACTCATTAACAGGAATCAGTTCTCATTACTGTTAATTCTTCAATAATTGGACACATTTTGAAAATAAAAAAATAAACATGGTGTTCTATACTACAGAACTAGTCATGATACAATTAAGTCTCATTCCACTGAGAGCAAAGCACCTTACTTTCACTTTGGGTTTGCAAAGTTTGCTGCTGTAGACAACATAATTTTTTGCTTTGACATTTGCAATAACTTTAGCTTATTTAATTGAAGTAAGTTTCAAGTTTATTTTATTTCCTTTGGACTTGCAATATTATTTTATGTTTTTTTTTTTCCTACAAAATTCACTAAAAATGTAATTTAGAAATCTTGGTCTTATAACTTGGAAGTTAATTTAACTTTTCACTTTTAGTTATTTTAATATTCTTCTCTATGAAATTTCTAGACTAATGATAAACTAGAATTTTCTTTTGCATAATCTGTATTTCTGTGTCTAAAAGTATGTTGAATTTTAACACAGTTCTTATATGGTAATGCATGGTCACTAGTAAAAGGATGAGCCCAAAATGCGATTTACAGGTCAGGGACACTAAAATCAAGCAGGTGCGGAAGTTTAAATATCTGGGAAGTGTTTTGACGGAGGACGGTAAGTGCAACACTGAGATCCGAAGATGTATTGGGATGGCCAAAGACACATTCCAAAGTACACATTTTTCAGTTAGCATATACTACATTGTCTTTTATATACCATATCCTTCAAGATGTTGGCAATCATGGCTGTTCACAATTTCATATCCTTTATAGTTCTAAGTAAATTTTGTCCTTTTGTTTTTTTTTTTCTCTTAAACCCTTTTCTGCCATTCATTTACACAAGCTTGTTAGGTAGGTTATGCACAGTTTTCCTCTGTTCCTCTTGACTTCAAGACATGCTGTGTGTGTCAAATTTTACTAGCCCTCTTTCCTCATTATGTGCCCTAGAAATTTCAACTCATTTCTTAATGTTAAGCATAAGTGTCTTTTTTGTTTCCAGTTTCTCTGAAACTTTCTTGTTGCTCACATCTTCAGTCCATGGTATTCTCAGCATCCTTCTGTAGAAGCACATTTCTATTGCCACAAGTTTCTTTTTCATCTGTGCAGAGATGGTCCAGTATTCATTGCCTCATAAGATAGACTGATATTACATAACAATTTAGTACTCTTTATTTCTAACAAAACTTTTCTGTTTGCTTAGCTTTTGGAAGGCATATTTTGCTACACCTTCAGATTTCAGTGTTGAACTTTCCATCTTCTGTTAAAACATTTCCCAGATATTTCAATTGTTGTACTTGCTTGATTTTGGTCTCTCCAATTTGTAATTTGCATGCATTCCACCTTCTTGTTATCAAGATTTAGTCCCCTTCTTCTCGCTTTCCTTCACTTCCTTCTGTAAGAGATTTTGTAGTTTCTTTTCTCTGTCTGCTTGATAGTCATCTGCATATTTTACATTGTTAAGATTATGGCTACCAACAATGAAACTTAGTAAGATTTCTAATTCTCTCACAATTACCTCACCTAGATCTTCAAATATTTTTTCTTTAATTTTTCAGTATAAAAAGTTTTCTTTCTTTTCATGTGCTGTGTCTCTTCAGGACATAGGTGATCATGGCTCCCCACTTCTCCCTATACCTTGTAGCTCTCAATAAGTTTCATTCTTCTGCCACCTCCTCCAGACCGCATTCTGTCATCCACTTGCTTAAGCCCACCAGGTATATCATACATTGCTTTTCCTGGTCTCTCTTTCTCTCTATTCAACCTGTGAGTATCAGATTCTCCAGGTCCTCCTTTCTTATTAAGTGTCCCAGAAATTTCAGCTGCCTGTTCCTGATGTTAAGTATAAACTTCCTCCTTGTTTGCATCCTCTCCAAAACCTCATTGTTGCTCACATACTTTGTCCATGATATCTTTAGCATCCTTCTGTAGAACCATACTTACGTTGGCCTTGAGTCCCTTCTTCATCTTTGAGGAGACTGTCCAACATTCATTGCTGTAAAAGAGGACATATATCCTGTAGAAAGTTAGTATTCTTTTCTTTGTTACCAAAGAAATCCTCCTGTCTTGTAATACTCTGCCTAACTTTTGGAATGTGTCTTTGGCCATCCCAATACATCTTCGGATCTCAGTGTTGCACTTACCGTCCTCCGTCAAAACACTTCCCAGATATTTAAACTTTCGCACCTGCTTGATTTTAGTGTCCCTGTCCTGTAAATCATATTTGGGGCTCATCCTTTTACTAGTGAACATGCATTACTATATAAGAACTGTGTTAAAATTCAACATACTTTTAGACACAGAAATACAGATTATGCAAAAGAAAATTCTAGTTTATCATTAGTCTAGAAATTTCATAGAGAAGAATATTAAAATAACTAAAAGTGAAAAGTTAAATTAACTTCCAAGTTATAAGACCAAGATTCCTAAATTACATTTTTAGTGAATTTTGTAGGAAAAAAAAACATAAAATAATATTGCAAGTCCAAAGGAAATAAAATAAACTTGAAACTTACTTCAATTAAATAAGCTAAAGTTATTGCAAGTATCAAAGGAAAAAATTAAAATGTGTAATTAAATGTGTAATTGTATTTGATTTTAAAAAAAAAAAAAATTGATTTTTTTTTTGTAGTTTCTTCTTACAAATGTTACAAAGACCTTCTCAAGAAAGTTAATTTTAATGTTTTGTTATGTTTAATTTTTAAGAGTTTTCTTCTGAAGTTCTAAAGAATTTTTCTTTGATTCCATTGTTGCCCTGTTCTGGGTAAGATGTTAAACTACATCCACATACTGGGTAAGACGATAAACTATGTCCAGCAGCAAGGCTTCTAATCAGGAGGTTTTGAGGAGCGTGGAACCACCTTTTAATTGCTGGTTTTCCCAGGTCCATCCTGACCCGGGATGGTAGCACCTGTTAGGGTCCCAACTATGGGCAAATAGTTAACTATTACCAGCAATACCTTCTTGAAAAATTATTACCAGCAATACAATTTTGAAGGAAAAATATTACCAGAAACAGATTTTTGACAAAACAAAACATTACCAGCAATAAAAAATTTTGTCGGCATTAAATAACCCATTGAGGTTGATATGCCGTAAAACAAAATAAACCAAATCAAACCTGTTGTTGCCCAGCAAAATTGATTTAAAAATGCAATTGTCCCATAAAGTTAATTTCATAGTTTTATCTATGGTATTATTATGAATAACAACAAATATATTTGATAAAATTTAATTTTTTTATGAGTAATTTGTGTTTTTCATTCTAAAAGGTAGTTTTAAAAAGAATTTTAAATTTTAATTCAATTTACCATTCTTCTTTTATGTACCATGTCACTTCAGGACATAGGCAATCATGTTTCTCCACTTCCTCCTGTTCCTTTTAGGTTTTGTCTTTTTGTTATTTCTACCAGACAATGTTCTGCCATTCACTTGCTTAAGCCTGCTCAGTATGTCACACATTGCTTTCCTCTATCTCTCTGTTCATCCTGTGAGTATCAGATTCTCTAAGCCCTCCTTTCTCATTACTTGTCTCAGAAATTTCAGCTGCCTCTTATTTTTTTTATGTTAAATATAAGCTTCTTCCTTGTTTTCATCCCCTCCAAAAGCTCATCGTTGCTCACACGCTCAGTCCATGATATCCTTAGCATCCTTCTGTAGAAACATATGTCCTTTGCCATGAGTCACTTCTTCATATTTGAGGAGACCATGCAACAATCGCTGTTGTAAAGGAGGACAGATATCACATAGCAGTTCAGTACTCTTTTCTTTGTTACCAACAAAATCCTCGTTTCATAATACTCTGCCTAGCTTTTGGAATGCATCTTTGGCTATCCCAATGTCTTCAAATCTCAGTGTCACACTTACTGTCCTCTGTCAGAACACTTCCCAGATATTTAAATTTCCACACCTGCTTGATTTTAGTGACCCCGACCTGTAAATCACATTTTGGGCTCATCTTTTTGCTGATGACTGTGCATTCTGTCTTCTTGTAGTTTATGCTTTGTCCCTTCTTGCTCTCCCCCACTACCTTCTGTATGAGGTTTTGTAATTTCTTTTCTGTGTCTGCTATCAGCACTGTGTCATCTGTGTATCTTATATTGTTAAGATTGTGGCTGCCAATGATGAATCCTGGTAGGATTCCAGTTCTCTCAGAATTGCCTCACTGTATAGGATAAATAACTCCAGTGAGAAGACACATCATTGCCTTATGCCCCTTTCTATTTTTGTATATCTGCAGAACTCTTTTTTTTTATCTTAATGCAAACAGTTTGCTGCCAGTAGAGGTTTTTGATTATTATAATGTTTTTTTCCTGAATATGTCAAGTTTGCTGAGCAGCTCTAATAGATCTTTGTGGCATACTTTGTCAAATGTCTTTGTATAGTCTATAAAACACAGGTACATGTTCTTCTGAACTTGTATTGCTATTTCTGATAACATTCTTAGCATGAATATTGTGTTCCTTGTTC